GGTCAGGAGAGGTCTGCCACGCCATGTGGTCACCTCCCGGGCAGGCGGGAATTGAACCCATGCGGAAGCGGCTTTAGATTCTCAGTGCTGTGCTTTAACCCGCTGCACCACCAGGGAGGGCCTAATATCAGTTTTTAAGTATGACAAGAAATACTAATGTGATTTTTTTATTGTTGTTACATTAAATCTTCTGTTTACTTTGTGGAGAACTTATAAATTTCTGTTTTGAGTTTTCCAAATCATGTATAAAGTTTTCTTGTAAGGATATATATACTTCTATAGTTCCTGTGTGTGTTTTAGATTTCTCCCCAATGCTCCTTAATCATTTATTTAAAAAAATGTCTTATGCTATTAGAAATGGTAATTTTTTTGAGATTTAATTTCTCTTTATTAAGGTAGCATTTATTTTCAGCACTCTATATAATTTAAGCCATCGGTCCACACTGCTGGGATTTTCATCTTTCATTCCATCACACCCACCACTAGAGCATCTGTGTTCCTTTGCCATAGAAGACTGGGCCCATCTTCCTTTGTTCCCACCCACATTTTCTTTTCTAATAGTGTTTGCCCATTGGTGTCAGAGGATGAACTCTAGGAGGGGTCTGAGGGAAGGTTGAGTGTGAGGAAGAGTATAGATCAGTTATTCACTTAGGACAGAGCTGCAGTATTGCAGGTACTAATGGCATCATGAAAGAGTAGAAGCATTTGATTAGCATGAAATAGGGAATTCCAGAAAGGGAGTTCAGTTTGTTCAAAGACATGTTAAAGTTTTGAGCATGCTATATTAGAAGTTACAAATTTTTTTTTATAAATTGGTGGTTATATGTGATCGTCACCCAGCGTCTACTCTGCAGCAAGCTCAAAAGGCTTTAATCAGTGTCTGTTATGTAGCTTAATTCTTGCAGCCTATCAGTTTTTGGAACCCAGTTTTATTTCTCTTTGATTCACCTTTTGCAGGTGAAGCAGCATGAATTTTACAGATGAAGTTCTCTGAGGCTATTCCATTCATACATGTTGGAGAAAGACAGTTAGTTTAGGCAGTTTGATTTAGTTACTTTTAATCTTTTTGTTACTAACTGCTTCCAAGATTAAGATGTTAGGTAAGCAGTTGAAGAGATCCAGGTGAACAACACTAGATATCCAGATGTTACAGTGCTTGCAGAAAATGCAGTTGAATGTGATGGCAGTGGGTCCACTCAGAAATTACAGACATAGAGAAGAGTTCTTACCTGGCCTGTGGTAGAAGGCAGAGGAGGATGGTAGTGATGTGCACTGGAACAAGGGAGTTAGGGTCACGTTTAGGTGCAGGAAGAAGAATTAAACCAAGAGGAAAAAATGATGTTTGCCAGGTAATGCTCATTTTCAAAGATTGCTCCACCCCCCTTTTTTTAAAAAATAAGTCTGTCATGGTCCCAGATTATCTATTTTTTATTCTGTAGGAAAGATTGCAGATAGAAAGATACTTGAGTGCCACAGATAGTCCCTAGGCACAGATTCCAAAGAATATAGTTGTGATTTAGCAGTTTCATAGTGTAATTAATGGACATGCATCTAGGTTGTTACTCAACATTTGTTAAAAAACTCAGATATAACTTGTGTCTGTAGTTTTGTCATATATATATATATATA